TAGGCTACTGCGCCGGGCCTGGAAGTCATGTTTTTAAAAAGATAGTTTCCTAGGCTTCAACTTTAAGAATTCAAATACAACAGGTCTTAATTGGGTTTCATAAATATGCACTGGAAACCACAGCTAATATGGCTGCAGATCATTGGCCCATCACTCTCACCCATAAATATGCACAGCTGAACAGGCACAGCTGGCAGGTGGAGAGAACAGCTAAAGCTTGATCGTGTGCTCATGGCTGCGATGCGATTTGGCAGTATTAGTGTGCAGAGAGTTAAAAGCTTGCAGTGGATGTGCATCTTCAAGGAAGGGTGTAGAGAGAGGAAATATGGGCCAAGCATAGAGGGATAAAGTACAAGAGACAGAAAGAGGAGAGGAGGAGACCAAGGAAACAGAACAAGACAAGACAGCCTAGTCCAATGCCACGGAGGTCAAAGTGGCGAGGAGCGACATACAATAAGGTCAAATGGCCAGGAACAGTAAGGCCAGTGAAAACCGTGTTGCTATCTGCATGATCTGTCTCAGGCTCTCTAATATTATTTCTAGATGGTAGGCTTAGTTGTCATTATATTCCCAGCACCTGGCATATTGTAAGCATTTAATGAATGCTATGCAAGCTAAACTGGATTGGCCAGGGCTTTTACCATACAAGAATTTTAAAGAGCTCAGCTATAACTTGGTTCCATCAAATATCCTCACTGGGATGAGCAAACATTATAGGGATAGAACATCCACAACGGAGAACTGATTATAACAGACTGATAGAGCAGTTCTATGAGCCACATGCTGAGAAGTGGTAATAGCCTTAAAAAAATGCCTAACCTCTGTGTGTGATAGTACTTTTCACCAGTAATTTAAAGACTAAAGGCCTGTAAAACCTTACATTTAGATTATGAGTTTTTTTATACACACGGTCTCTCCTGATCATTCGTAGAAGTGTGTGTAGTCATGAGAACAAGCACATTAAGAGGTAAATGACTCTCTCAGAATGCACGTGCATCGGTTGCTATGACGACTGTTGAGTCTCACTGAAGAGAGAGCAAAAAATCAATTAAAACCCATTGGAAGAACTTGCACAGGGGCATAAAATATTTCTGCCTCTCAGTTTCAGGACCCATCTCACATATGTGGCAGAATGCGAAGCATATATGTGTGCTGGCTGTTGGGAGGGTTCTAAGAAAAGTCACCCTTTTGATGTAGTTTTATAATTCTAAGGACTCCTTCCATAACTTAATCTTCTTAGCACACAAGTAATTTGTTTAAGCAGTAAAAGGTTGAGTCAGTTTCTCTGCTCTTTTATACCAATCACATTGAACAATTTTTAGTTTTAATCTATTTTTCTCTTTCTTTGAAGAAAAAACCCTCAGGCCTATATATAGAGGTAAAATGACAACTGCCTAGCATTTTCTGTCCTATATTGTCATTTCCCCTCACCTGCAGCCCCATCACAGTGGCATAAGCCTGGCTAGTCAAGAAAACGAAGGAAAGGAAGAGTTAGTTTCAGGAAGCTATTTTGTCCATCCATTTGTTTCTCCCTTTTCTTGGAGACAGAATATTTTTCATTCTTACCTTTCTAAGACACGAACGGCACTAACAGAACGATGAGAAGTCCCACGAACGGAGGAGATAAACGCTTTCAGTGAAGACTAGCCGCAATGAGACCGACCAGGCATTAACGGACAGGTTTTTCACGAGTGGCTCTAACAGTGTTTGGGTGGAGATGACTTGGGGCGGTGAAAAGGGCAGTCACTGCCCGTGACACTGGTATCTCAGATAGCACCAATTCCTGCTCTAGCTGACCCACTTCCATTCCAGCTCCCTGCGAATGGCCTGGGAAAATCAGTGGAATGTGGCCCAACTTCTCAGGCTCCTGTCACCTTTCTGAGAGATTGGATGAAGTCCTTGGCTTTAGGCTGGCCCAGCCCCAGCTGTTGTGGTCATCTGGAGTGGAAGACCTCTCTTTTTCTGTAACTCTCTCTCGTGTGTGTGTGTGTGTGTGTGTTTTGAAAAAGAATGTTCAGTAGAAATGTTCCCGTGATCATTCAGTTACAGCTTTCTGTGCAATGAACAGTGTAATGAATTGCAGCTCAGAGTGGGTTGCAGCTCAGCTAGGAGATCACACTGGGAGAGACTTAACCACGGATAGAGACTTTGCGTTGCTAATCTACGCAGCAGAACACCAAATCAACCCCCCAAAGCAACCATTTCATAAGTGGTTTTTAAAAATTATTCGTATTATTTCCCATGATTCAGTTTTGTGGGCTTAGGGCTTTCCCCATTTCCCTCCCCACCTGTCCTTCCTACCCATCTCTCATATTATTGCAGTAGTACAGTCCTCCAGCAATAATTACAAGTTCAACAATCTGCTAGCCATGTGCATCATGGCACTGTAGGTAGTGTGTAGGGTTTATAAGTCTCCACATAGCAGTCTGGGTTAGCAGGGGATCAACTTGGTGAGTTGAGACTATCATTACAAAAAGTAAGAGAGAAAATGGAGTGGATCTGATATAGTCAAAGTAGTGTGTTTTGTTCAACATCTGTTTTGTTCTCATGCTCACCCTCCTCCCATGTGAATGCACGGGTTGCTAATTGAGTGTAATTCTTACTGCAGGTCCTAACTTAAAAGTCACCGACAGTCACAAGTCCATCATTCCTCTATTGAAGTATATTATGTGCTTGTAGGTACAGACAATGGTAAAGTCCAGCACCTTATTGTCAAGATATATTTAATAGTTTTCTTTGAAGGTAAGACTCCTCAATGCTAAGAATTATTCAACATTTACTATGGTCCATAGGGGAAAAACCAAAATGAAGAAGCAGCTAAAAAGAATTCCAGCTTCTTCACTTCCAGGGTTCGAACTGTTCTCCGAACCCACAACTGACTTCTGTAGCTTTATGTTGGCTTTTAACTTCTCTATTTCCTAATCTTCAATTCAATTCCTTTCAATGTCTACATTCCACTTCAATTCACGGTGCCTCTCTTGGTAGCTTGTAGTATCTATCCTTTACAAAAAGGGCCTTTCAAGCCATATCTTTGCATCTAGCCCACACGATCTCTATCTCTTTTTGTAAGTCACTTCTTCCTAGTGGCTATGCTCCTTTCTACACATTCTCTCCCTAGCGTCATCTCTGTTTTGCTATGTGTCTGCCTCCTGTCCCACAGTTCTTGTTGGCGATGTGCTGTCTCCTTGTGTCTGCCTCTTCCCTTGTTGCTTTCCTCCTGACATGGGCCTTCTAGTGCATCACAAAACTGACCTGTTTTTTCTGTCTTGTTATTGCTGCACTCCTGCTTGTATTTCTAGGCCCTCTAAATGACTGACAGCAACTGGATCCTTGGAACTGCAGATCATATTTTCTATATATTGCATGATTTATGGTATAACCGAGGGCATGTAATAGTTGCACAACCAAATATCTTGAATCAACCATGCACTGCTCCTTTGAACTAAAATTCTATCCTGATATCTCTGGCATTTTTCTCTTTAGATTTGAGGACGGTTTAAAAAACAATGCACGGAAGAGCCTGGTGCGATAGCCTAGTGGCTAAATCCTTGCTTTGCAACTGCCAGGATCCCATATGGGAGCCAGTTTGTGTCCCGGCTGCTCCACTTCCCATCCAGCTTCCTGCTTCTGGCCTGGGAAAGCAGCTGAGGATGACCCAAAGCCTTGGGACCCTGCCCCAACATAGAAGACCTGGAGGAAGCTCCTGGCTTTGGATCAGCTTAGGTCTAGCTGTTGCAAAAGCTTGGGAAGTAAACCATCAGACAGAAGATCTTTAACTATGTCTCTCCTTCTCTCTGTGTATCTGCCTTTTCAATAAAAATAAATAAAGTCTTAAAAGAAAACTGCTTGGAAAATTGGAATCAAAATAAGCTTATTTTTGTGTAAAAAAAACCCTTGAATCCATGCCACCTTTTTTCTTATGATATGCATTTCCATTACCCCTTTGAAGAGTCCCTCGTAGAGGAGTGTTTGAAATGGCTCTACTGCTTCTGAAACGCTCTCAACTCTGTTACCTCACATGTATTATCTACAGTGATCTGGGTACACAGCCCGGGCATGATATTCTCTGAGGAGACTGGGTCACCAAGAGGTCTGTAACAAAATGTGGCTTATTAATGACATCCCTAGATCAGGAACTAGATCCACCTTGGCCATCACCCTCTTGCCAGGCAACCCTGGGAACAACAGCAATCACATAAAAGAAGTACTCCCTTCACATATGTGTACTCCCATACACATATGTGTATGGAGAAAAAAGGCAAGACTTTAACAGACCAAGTATAACTCATGTTCCCCATGCAATGAGAATTTGAACACCTCCCCTAGGATTAAGATCCTGGGTAACATTTTGTTTATGACACTGTGTTCCAATTCCAATTATGCCATAGAAAGAAAAAGGAAATGCACTGATCACTTACAGACAGCTTATTGTCTTCCACTGTCTGAAAACCTTTTCATGAAACTCCTCTTTGGAGCCCAGTGTGATGGCTCCGTTTGGTAATACTCTTCTTGGAAATGTCAGGATCACACATGGGGACCAACAGTTGTCCTGGCTGCTCCATTTCCCATCCACTTCCTGCTTGTGGCTTAGGAAAGCAGGAGGGCAGCCCAAAGCCTTGGGTAGCTGAATCCATGTGGGAAACCAATAAGAATCTCAATAAGCTGGGACACCTGCACCTGTTTTCCCCAGGTTGTTAGCAGGGAGCTGAATCTGAAGTGGAGCAGTTGGGATTCAAACTGGTACTCACATGGGATGCTGGTGTCACAGGCAGTGGCTGGCCTCTGATCAGCTCAGCTCCAACGGCAGCCTTTTGGGAAATGAACCAGTGCATCTAGGATCTTTCTCTCTGTCTCTCTTCTCTGTAAATCTGTCTCTCCAAGAATACATTAAAAAATAAATAAATAACACCCTATACTGACAATTAGCAGGGACTCTATGTGGTGTTATAAATAATTACCAAGTCTTCTTATTAATTCATTAATTAGTTTCTTAATCTTACCAAGCTGTTCTCCTAGACGTTGGCCTCTCTCAGTTGAGATGACCCGCTCATCTTCCATGTCACACTTGTTGCCAGCCAGAATAACCTGGGCATTATCCCAAGAGTATGTTTTGATTTGAGTTGACCTAAAAGAAAAAGAACAAGCATGAAATTGTCAGCAGAAAGCAGAGCAGCATAAAGTAAGAGGGAGAAGAAATAGATCCCGGTGATGACAAAAATAACAAAAAACTGAAACCCAAATGCATGACATTTAGAATTAATTAGATCAGTGCAGCTTCACTCTTTAGATACTCACCAGGGTATTGCGTGAGTCAAAAATCCAGGGAACAGTGATGTACCAAGAATTGTTTAGTCTCTAATGAGACTGATATTGCTATAGCTTCTTCCTTTTCCTAGGTCTACACCCTTGTTATACCTTTTCAGCAAGGAGTACCAAGCATCCAGGACTGCCCAACTTTTCTGGTTTTAGCAGTAAGTCCAACATCTTGAAAAGTCCCTCAGTTGTAGGCAAACAGATCTGGTTGGTCATTGTATATGCAGCGTATCACAGAAAAGCATCATTTTCTCTTTTCACAATAACTTAAAGAACTCATGTAATTCGGGTTTAGGAAATTCGAGACCATGATAGTTTTAAAAAGAAATATTAAGAACTAATATACTCATGTCTTACATTTTTAAAAGAAAATATCAGGTTGATGAATATAAAGATCATAATACAATGGACTGATTGTTTTTGAAAGATTTATTTGAAAGAACTACGAAGAGAGATGATGAGGCAGGAAGGGAATGAGGGAATGGAGAGAGTATGAGGGAGATACAGAGAAACAGAAAAAGATCTTCCACCCACACTGTTTTTATTCCCAGATTGCCACAGCAGCCAGGGCTGGGCCAGGCTGAAGTACAGAGTCAGGAGCATCTTCCAGGTCTCCCAGCTGGGACACCTGCACCTGTTTTCTCCAGGTTGTTAGCAGGGAGCTGAATCTGAAGCGGAGTAGTTGGGATTCAAACTGGTACTCACATGGGATGCTGGTGTCACAGGCAGTGGCTTTGCCTGATACACCATAATCCTAGCCCGCAGATCGACATTTTAGAAAAAGGATATGTAGAATTCAAAGTAAACCTCCAGTATGGATCATGACACAAAGGAACTTCTTGATTTTGAACTTCAATCAGATAATTAAATTGATTGTCATTTGCAGGTATTCTCATTGCTGTGCAATTAATTGCTTTGTATTGACTGATGAGCCCTTAGAATAATTTCAGCAGATATCATCATCTCCATTCTATAACTCAGCAAAATGTGGCATAGAGAGTTTGAATCATTTACTCAGTATCATGCAGCTGGTAAAATGACCGACCTGGATATCACACTGAGGGGATGGATTTGAAGCCTGTGCTCTTAAGCATGTTTCCATTCTACTTTTGAAAAGCTTGAGAAGCAGAGAGAGGACATTTAGCCTTCTTAGTAAGAAGTCCACCCTCCATATTGGAAGTCCTATGCTGACTCCCAGTTCTAGCTTCTTACTCCAGCTTCCAACTAATTGGATCCTGGGGAGCAGGGGTGATGGCTCAAGTCCTTGGGTTCCTACCATCCAGGTGGACTATCTGGATTGTGTTCCAGCTCCAGGTCCAGTCCACTTTACCCAGTGTAGGCAACTGGTGAGTGAGCCAGAGTATGGGCCCTCTTTCCCTGTCTTTCAAATTGAGAAAGTAAAGGGGGAAGAAGCTTGAGAAGTGAGGTCTTCATGTATTTATTATCTTCCAGAGAGAAAACAAGAGGAAGTTAAAGTCTACCCTCCTTGTATATTATTTGGGAATGACAGTTTAGCATTAAGGGTGCAGAGACCTACTGCCTAGTCGGTGATCAAGAGAGAGACATGGAAATACTGAAAAGCTAAGCACACGACTGAAGCCTGAAGGCACGGATTTGTAATGTGTGGGAAAGAGGAGCCTGAGACCAGGCTCACTAGCAATTGTCAAGCCCTCCAGGATTATTGAAAAGAAAGCCGTGAGGAGCTGTTCTCCACTTGATGACAGAATGAAAAGCAAAGAGCTCTCAACCGCGCCAGGAGAGCTTTCAGTGTGATGTGACGCCTGTTTGTCCCTCCTGAGAGCAAAGGGAAGAACTAAGAGGCAGAGCTGTATTTCAGAGCATTCCCCTGATTTCCAAATGAGATTAAAGTATCTGACACACTACAATGCTACTCTACCTGTCATCCCAGAGGCACAGAGTATTTTATTAGGGAATCTGGAGAGAGAAATGGTCTAATCTTATCTAACAATATATTCCTTTAGCAACTGTGAGATGTGGCTTGTATCCACCAACTAGGAAAGTGAAGAAAGAAACTCTGAACTCAATACTGTTTCCTCACTGCATCTTAAGTGTCGAATAAGGAAAGTGTGGGGTCATAAGGGAGGAATGGCCACAAGGAAAGGCTTTCTGAGTTTCCCGAGGTCAAGAGCTTGCCTGAGAAAATTCAGCACTGCTCTGACCTGAGCAAACTCATTGCACTGCTCCCCTGCATATCTCTTCAGCTCAGAAGAGCCTTTTGCAAAGGTCAGGAAATGACGCATCTCAGCACCTGCTGCCTGATTTGTGTTCTTTGATTGCATAAGGGAATATTTTTTTCCTCTTCTGTTGACACTGTAAACCATAGGGTTTTAGCCTACCACAATTCGTTCATGAATATACAACATTCCCTCTATCCTACCAATACACATAAGTACATAAAAGGAACATACTTTTTGGGCCATGAATCACATCAAAACTATCTTCCTTCCTTCTTTCCTTCCTTCCTTCTTTCCTTCCTTCCTTCCTTCCTTCCTTCCTTCCTTCCTTCCTTCCTTCCTTTCTCTCTCTCTCTTCCTTTCCTTCTTTTTCTTTCTTCCTCTTTTTCTTTTTACTATTACTTGCAATTATCTATTATTTCATTTTTAAAAATTTAATGTGTTTATTTTTATTTTTTTAAACTTGAAAGAGTTGTTTTTTTAAATAAAATATTTTCAGTTCACTTCATAATCACAGTGTTATACTTCTATTAGGTAAGTAAGTTAACAAATAGCAAGCAGAAAAAAATGTTCTTCAAGAATACATACAATATCCTGTACTATAAACAGGCTATAAACAATACTCAACTCTTAAAACATACTAGATTACATTTTTGTACTCTACATTAATACCAGAAAATCAGAGGAAACACATATTCCTCAATTTGGGGACTGAATTTTCACTAAGCATAATGGCTTCCAGTTAGAACAATTTTATTGCAAAAGACAGGATTTCATCCTTTTTATGGTTGAGTAATATTCCATCGTGTATGCACACCACTGTTTAATCCATTAATAGTATAAAGGACATCTGGGTTGATTTCCTATTTTAGTGATTGTTAACTGACAGATAATTCTTTCATATGCTGAATTCCCAGAAGTGGGAAGGTCAAATGGTGGTCTCTCCTGTCTTTTATAATGGTTGTACTGGCTTGCATTCTCACCAGCAGTGAGATACGTTTGTATCCATATCCTTGTCAACCTTTATTGTTTTCTGATTTCTGTGTGATAGCCATTCTGACAGCCAGTGATCCTATGAATTTTCTCATGTATCTGTTGGCCATTATAAAAAACACCTTCGAAAAATGCCTTTCCTGTTCTCTGCTGTTTTTTTTTTTTCTACACATGAAAGATGAGCTTAGGTTTTTTTTTTTTCTTTATTCAGGAAAACTTGGGAAAAGAGAAGGATAAACCTTTGAACTAGGAAACAAACAGATTTTCATATATCTCATCTATACTGGCATGAATTAAGGTTACAGGAATAATGGTAAAGTAATCTAATTCCCATCTTTCACAACTTAGAATTATGATACTTTGTGCAGCCAGTTTAAGGAAAAATTCTGCATATGGGGAAGGTGTTTTTGGGTCATTTAGTACTGGTATATTCACCCTGTAAGATGAGGCTACCTTTTTTTTTTTTACTCTGGGTACTTTGTGGGACAAACATGGTTTTAAGCTGGACCATGCTGTTCTTAAATTGCAAGTAACTCTTGACAAATGGAACACATTATTAGCTCTAGCTTGGGAAGCCAGCATTTGTTTTCCCAAATCCAGCTTAAATCATCCTTTTTAATTCTTATAACCTAAATATTAATTGGAAAATTTTCACGGAAGGATTTCAAATTCTGTCTTCAATAGATAATAACCCCCAGCCTGAGGCTCGAGACAAGTACATTTTAAACTGAGAGTAAATGATCTCTCTCTGGTATTTTTGTGAAGAACACAACATATGTTTGCAGAACACATTCTCCTGTCGGGCGGCAGTTAAAAATATTTACATTTTTGGTCATTTCCTGTGTTTTGCAAATTTTCTTATTTGGGCAAAGAGTTTTCAACCACCTCATTAGACGGATCTGTCTTATTTCTTGGCTGAGTAAATATACACATTTAAAGAAGAGTGGCTGTCACCACAAGATATACATACACGTGCAAAGATGACTTAGCAGTAGCTGCAGAAGACCCTTTTGGAATTACTGCTAATCTGAACAAGATTAACGGATCAGAAGCCAGATGCTGGTCACCATGGTTACCTTGCAAATGGCAGGCAATTCAGACCCCACCACGTGCTGATCATAGCTTAAAAAATAGGTTTGTTATTGAATTAGTACCCAGTAAAAATAAAACAAAACTCCCAAAACATCTCTAAAAAATTGTTATCTCAAGAGAAAAAAAGAGTAAAAGAAAAAGAAAGAGAAGGAAAGCACAGTTCAGTCTCATTTCAGCTCTTGTTTAAACACGAACAAAAGCTGGGATGAGATGAGGGACAGGAGAGGTTTTTTGATTTAATATTTTACACATAAGAAACTGAACTGTGTAAAAATTAACTTAAGCCTGGAGAGCTATAAACAGCCACCCAAGTACTCCAAACTTGCTTTCAATTCCTTCCTGTCTCCATGGAGTATGTGTGCCATTTCTTGTGAGTTGAACTTCTTCGCAGAGAGAACAATGGATTCCTGATGGTCACACTGTTGTCAGCAAGGGTCCAGACAGAATCCCTCAGTGAACCAAAATAGCAACTGTCTCCTCTGTCCAACTAGGCCGAACAGGGAAATATGAGGTTCCAGAGAGAAGGTAACCT